GGTCACTGGAAGTGACTCTTGCCTTGCCCATCTTAATTTTTGGCCTTCAAGAGCAAGGTCTATCAACCAATGAGATTTTGTATTTTATCATGTCTCTTTTGCACATTTGGTTATCAAACTCTATAAAAAGAAGGTCTTAGGAAACAGGGACATCTCAGATCATGAAGAAGATCTGAGGTCCACTTTATTAGAGGGGACCATTGACCCTTTAATAAAGTGCCATTGGCTCAGAATTCTGCCTCAGCTTCTTCTTTTTTTTTTTTACACTTTTTTTGGGCTAGGCAATGGGGTTAAGTGACTTGCCCAGGGTCACACAGCTAGTAAATGTTATGTGTCTGAGGCCGGATTTGAACTCTGGTCCTTCTGATTCCAGGGCGGGTGCTCCATCCACTGCTCCACCTAGCTGCCCCTCAGCTTCCTTTATGGCTGGACAATTTTAAACTCCATATCCAGTAGGAAGGCGCATTCCTGCTAGAGAGGAGGTAGTTCTCCAAAGTACCCTTGAGAGTGGGATTCTTGTACCCTCAAGCTGGCCAAATCATATCAAGAGTCAGGGAAAAATATTATTTTAGAAATTTGTTATCAGAGAGAAAAAAACAAGCTGGTGGTAGACAAAATATTATTTTGGGGAACACAGCTATACTAACCTTTGAAAACAATTATTGTTAGTATTTTTCCATGAGTATGTTCTATAAACTTACAGCCTTCCTGAAAGGGAGACTGTCATGATGGCTTTGATACCACCAAGCCTAATCTCTCTCTCTCTCTCTCTCTCTCTCTCTCTCTCTCTCTCTCTCTCTCTCTCTCTCTCTCTCTCTTTTTTTCGCTTTTTGGTGAGGCAATCAGGGTTAAGTGACTTGCCCAGGGTCACACAGCTAGTAAGTGTCAAGTGTCTGAAGTCAGATTTGAATTCAGGTCCTCCTAACTCCAAGGCCAGACCTCTATCTACTGCACCACCTAGCTGCCCCTAGTCTTATAAAAGGCCTCAAGCTTCACAGATAAGTAGTTGAAAAAGGGAACAGTATTTTATTAGCCTTTTAAGATAATTATATATATTCTTTGATAGTATACCTCATCTTGACAAGTGGTAGTTTCTTAAAGGTTAGTTGAAATGTGGAATCTGAACCTTCATCAATGAACTTTTCATACTTAAAATCCATTGATGAAATCCACTTTGAGTGGATCTTTTTAAAGAAATTTAATTCTAGCATTATTTTGTTATATCATACATTGATCATATGGAGGATGAGATATTTATGTCTTCAAATGGTAACACATTTCATATATAATATCAAATATCGCGTTTGTTAATATCACCACCTATCTCATCAGAAAAGTCTCTATGTATTTGGAAACTGTTGAGCTCACAGTGGTGGATACAAGTTTCTCAAAATTCTGCTTTTTACTTGAAATCTTGAATTTTATCACTGACAAATATTATCAGTTATTGTCCTTGAAGTAGCAGGCTTGCTTTGTTTTTCGGGAAAATGTATGTCAAATACCTAAGTCTGTATAACTATAGTTTGTCAACGTTCTTTCAAGTAAAAATTTTCTATGAAAAAAGTAAATTCAGCTTGCAATTTAGTCACTCGAAACAACCACTGAGGAAGTGCATATAATACTTTCTATTTCAACACATACAGAATATTAAAAAAAAGATCTGTACCCAAGGGTTGGGATTTAATAAAATGAATAAGTTTTATTGCTTCACCAAATGCATTCTTAAATGAAATGGCATTTTAAATTTTATCCTTGTTTGTTTCTTTATTCATTTGATTGGTGGTGAAGAACATGGTGAGACTAACATTGTTTGGTACCATTGCCTTGATTCATGCTAAGGCACCAGCAGTTTGACTTACCACTGCTTTTTCACATATGCAAATGTCAACACATTTGTTATAGAATAAATTATAAGATTCAAAAAAGGCATTCAACACTTAGAATATTTCACCACCACTTGTGTTTGTTGCCAAGCATTCACGTAAAAGATATTTTGATGATTAGTTAACGCTGATTGCAACAAATAAAAGCAAAACAGCAAGTCCAGTGATGTCTGTAGATTCTTCCATTTGTAAGGCAAAAGTTCTATATAGAAGATGTTAACTTAGTTTTCATGTTTGCAGCTAAATCTTTAATTCATAGGTCATGTAGCCTTTGGAAGATTCCACTGTATACTCATGAAAGTGAGTATACATATGGCAAAAAAAGTCTTAGTATAAAAATAGTTCTGACTTCACAGAATAAGGTCTCAGGGACCTTGGACCACACTTTGAGAACTACTGCCCTAGGGTGTAACTCCTGTGGGCCAGGTCATTTAAAGTCATCAAAAAGTAGTTAGGTGCTCATTTATTCTCTGATCACTTATCGAGGGTATCAACTTCCTGTTATCTATTTTTTGTTGTTTTATCCTTTCCAGTCCAAACTCATCCTTCATGTTTGAGAAAATAACAGCAACTCTAAGCAGCTGTGCCTTCTTTTTGTTGTCAGCTATTATCTCCCAAGGTTGTTAGGTATACTGGGCCTGGAGTCTGGAAGACCTGAGTTCAAATCTGTCTGTGTGATTCTGGGCAAGTCAATTAACCCTGTTTGCCTCAGTTTCCTCATCTGTAAAATGAGTTGGAGAAAGAAATGGCAAACCACTTCAGTATTTTTGCCAAGAAAAACCCAAAAGGGGTCATGAAGAATCAGACACAACTGGAAAACCACAAAAATTATCTTCCATCATTCTTTCTTTGATACTTCGTTGTTCCCTAACATATCTTAAAAAACAAACAAAAAACAAAAATAAAACTTTATCCTTTTTGTTATTCTTAGCTTTCCTTACCAGGTTCAGTTCATCATGAACTTTAGAAAACTTAATATTTTTAGAGTACTGTGTTATATTTCTATATTCATTTTCTATTACATGTACTTGCTTCCATTTAAAAAAAAAACCTTAGCTGGTTGGTGTATACCTTCCATATTCATTTTCATCTTTTCAGAAAACTCCCATTTTTTCCCCTTCTTATCCATAGTTTCTTTTTCCTTTCTAAAAATTTTTTGTTTTCAGAATTTCATCCTTTCTGAGCTAAATTTAGCCCGTGGCATAAGATTCTTTCCCTGAAATTCACCCTTTCCAAATCTAGGATGTCTTTCCTGTCTGCTATCACAATCTCTAGGAAGGATAGAAAATTTCCTCCATAATGTTATCATTATTTAAACCCTAGTAGTAACCATCTTTCTCATATTGGTGAGGATGAGAGACATCCAGGATTAGAATTTCTCTTAGTTGGTTTCTTCATCTTTTGAAGTTATGATGAAGTTATGATTAAACTGAGTGTAAAAATTATACTTTCATTATTAAAAAAAGTACAGTTTTTTTTGGTCACACACACAAATTGATCACCCCTATAGTATTTTATGCTCATTTCAAATATCGCTTCAAGGTTTGACTTTCACCTGTTGATTTCATACTAAGCATAGTTTTATGCTAAAATTTTATTTACTGTGTAAAATGATAGGAATATCCACCACTAAACCACACATTTGAATAGAAAATGGTCAGGTAATATAAAGCAAGATTGCTTTATAAAGAAAATTAATCTATTATTAAGTTTTATATTTTAGGTTTTATAAGTTTGAAATTTTTCTTTTTCAGAGATAAAAATTCAAAGATAATTATTTAGAAAGGACATATATAGAAAAATTAAGGGCCAGAACAAGGGATTTTGAAGGATCTGACAGAAGTTGGGAACAGATTCGATGTGGGGGATGAGAGAGTAAACATGATTTCAGGTTTAAGCATGGGTGACTGGTAGTATCATTAACCAAAAAAAAAAAAAAGATGTCAGGAGGAAGAGCTGATTTTCAGAAGAGATTTTTGAACCTTAGTCTTAACTTCTAGATCCACATTTTGTAGTGGTTGTTATCTTAGAAGAGAATTGTCACAAAATAAAATTCTCTTTGCTTTGAGTATTTCTTTTTTTAAAAAATATTTTTATTCTCTGCATGTCAGTTAGTTTCACTTTATCTACCTTGTAGCATTTTTATAGCCAAAGAAGAATTTTAAGGGGCTCAGAAAAAAGTAGGGGACCTGCCCCAAGGTCGTATAGGCACTGGTTCAATTCAACTCAATTTTGTTTATTTCAACAAATATTAATTCATCACTTACTACATGGAGAACACTGTTCCCATCAATGGTAGAGTTGAAACTAGGTCTCTTGACTCTGAGTTCAAGGTACTCCCTATCACATCCCTGTGCTTGCCTTCTCAGCCTTCCTTTTCTCTGGATGCTCCTCCTTCCCAAAGGTCAGAATGAGTTATTATTATTCTTACTGTTTGTCTATTTCTTTAATTTCTTTCTTCCAAATCCCGTTTATCCACAAGGCTCTCTCTACTTAATTTTCAAATCAGATGAGTTTAGTATTTTTTTTTGCCCCCAAATACAAAAATCAATTAATTCTGTTAATTTTTACGTTAATTGTTAAGACCTTAGTCCTTCATAGGATAAAGTCCCCTTACAGATTGAATGAAACAAAGTAATGTAATTACAAAGAATACGAAGATATCGGAACCTAAAAGATAAATTTTTTTTGGATCAAGTGAATCAATACTTAAAAAAAAATAAAAGCTTAACGTTATTTTAGTAGGAGCACTAAAAGTTTCCTTTACCTCCGTGGGCTGCCCTTTAAGGAGTCTGTGTTACTTCCCTCATCTACAGAGACATTTTTAGCAAAACTCTGAAGAAAGATAATTTGTTTTTTAGATAAATCAAAGGCCAAGCAGTGAAGAATCATCTCTAACAGGTCACAAACCTTATTCCTTTAACTATTCATTTTACATTTATAAGGAAAAGAGCAACTTTGGTTTCTTGCCATTGAATTTTGCCTAAAGTTGCAAGTATTTTTGAAAGCTTTGGGTATCATATTTTATATTTATTAACAAGAGAAAAAGAACGTAAAGCCTGAGAGGCCAGGGATGATATTCTGATAAAAACTGGGCAATTTGGTGCAAGGAATATTTTGAATTTGGACTTTTTTTGATGTATAACAAACACAATTTAGAAGCCAGAACAGAGACTACTGGGAGCACATGGTGTGCTAAGCAACGCACCAATCACAGCGCAGCCCTGCCCTATATATACCCCCTTGGTCGAGGCCGTTCTTTTGTAGTTCGGCAAAGTTTAGTTTGTCGTTTGTGCTTTTCTCACGTTGTCTGACATGTCTGAAATACTGCCTGCTGCTTCTGCTGAGCCTAGCGCCACTACGGCCACTGCGCCAGTTCCAGCGCATGTGGAGAAGGCCCAGGCGAAGAAGACCAAGACAGGAAGTCGCCCTAAGGCTGTGGGTCCTCCTGTATCAGAGCTTATAACTAACGCCGTGGCCGCATCCACTGAGCGTAATGGGGTGTCTCTCGCGGCTCTAAAGAAGGTCTTGGCTGCCGGCGGCTATGATGTGGAGAAGAACAACAGCCGGATCAAGCTAGGCTTGAGGAGTCTGGTAAGCAAAGGTACCTTGGTACAGACCAAAGGTACTGGGGCTTCAGGCTCTTTCAGGCTCAACAAAAAAGCGTCTCCAGGCGAAACCAAGAACAAAGCCAAAAAGTCACCTTCGGTTAAGGATAAGAAGCCTGCTGCCAAGAAGCCTAAGAAATCTGGCTCGTTAACAGCTAAGAGCGTGAAGACTCCAAAAAAGGCAAAGAAACCAGCAGCGGTGGGAGGCAAGAAAACGGCCAAGAATCCTAAGACTAAAGCCGCCAAGCCTAAGAAAGTGGTCAAGAGTCCAGCCAAGGCCGTGAAACCCAAGGCTAAGGTTGCCAAGTCAAAAGCTGTCAAACCCAAGAAGGTGTTGCCCAAGAAGAAGTAAATTAGCTGCCGAATTCTCTCAAGTAAACGCCCCAAAGGCTCTTTTAAGAGCCACTCTAAGAATCTTATGGAGAGCTGCAGGAAACTTGTCCATGGTAATAATATATTTGTTGAGCACCTTTGTGTTGTATTGCCTGGTTGCTTTTGGAGTAACCAAAATTTAGTATTATCTTGGCACTTTGCGCCATCTCTGAGTTAAGAGATTTTGTGGTTTTTAATTTTATTACATTTGATATTTGAGTCTTTAACCACTACTGGGGTCAATTTTTTGTTGAGTGTTAGGTACTGGTAATTAGAAGCAAATTAGATTGGAAGTGCTTAAAATAGAGAGAACTCGAGTTAGTTTTTTGCCTTTGACTTGGATCTTTGACTTAGATCTGACAAAATTGGATTCTCCCACTGTAATAACTTGTAACTCTGCAGCTGGAACTTTTGAGCTATTAGGAATTTTTTCTAATGCAATATTGGGAAGATTGCAGACTGCTGGAGCAAGTTTTGACGATGACATGGTACCTCTAGGATTTAAGGAACTTGGAACTGATAATTCCTGTAAAAGAAGCCGAAGGATGATAGTCACCAGTAGGTAATGACCAAGAACTTGGTTAAGTTTACATGTTGTGTTTGTCACTCATAGAATACCCAATTTGAATTTTTTCTTTCTACATTTCCAGAAATACCGGGAATCAACTTTATTTTACGTTTGAAGAGCCCAGGGTTGGTATGTGTTAATTTTCCTAGGTTACTAGGTCAAGAGAATTCAAATTAACTAAGAAATGGGAAAAGTTTGTGGGAGTTTTGGAATGGCATCAACACCTGGTAGAATCGTAGAGCTATAACTGGAAGAGTATTTTGCTGCGATCTAGTAGTTCGATTCCATTTTACATGTTGAGAAACAATCACAGATTCAGATGAATTTTTTGCGAAGCTAAATATAGGGGAAACCAAGATGGAGTTCATTTTGATGCTCTTTAGCCAGTACCATTTTTTCCTTAAATTCCTGTCTCATTTTTTGTCTTTTTCTTTTTTGTAGAGCGCTTAGTTGTAGGTACTCTTTATATGTGTGGGTGGATTCCCATATATCTTACATATTGGTAATTATTTGGAGTGGAATTTTTCTGTCTTGGTTTTTTTTTGGGTAATTTGAAGAAAGTATGTTTTTTATGAGTTTATTTTATATCTTGCTGCTTGACTGAAGATATTGTTTCACTCTTTAGTTAGGTTGTAGTGTTTTCTAAATAAAATGTTATTGCAAAAAGTGATGTTTGTTTTCCTCTTCCTTTTTTTCTGTATTACTGTTATAGACCGCTGTCATTTCTAGAGCTATGCTAAATAATAGTGGTAATAACACTTGCTTTACTCCTGATCTTATAGAAATGTCTGGTGTTTTTCAATTACATCTAATAACTCTTGGTTTTAGATAGACTCTACTTGCCATACTAGGTAGTAAGGATGGGTTCCCTCACGAAGAGTTCCCTGAACCAAGGAAATCACAAATTCAGATTCTCCCTAAGGGAAATGGTAAAATGAATGTCTTCAAGTATCTATACACATCTTATAAATTTGTTGATATAAATTTGGGAGTTTGTGTGTGTTTTAATGCTTTCTCTTTATAGTTTTTGCTAATATTGAAACATTCTTGGTATAGATCCAATGGTTGTCATGGTGTATAATCTGTTTATGTTGTATCGTACTCTGCTGATAGTTTATTGAATATTTTTGCACCAATATTTATTAGAGATAACTATGGCAGGGGTTCTTAAGCAGGGACACATGATCCTTTAAAAATATTTTGATAATGTCAGTGTGATTGGTTTCCTTTGCAATTTTATCTATTTTAGGGGAGCTAGAGTCAGGAGGACCTGAGTTCAAATTTGGCCTCAGATACTTGCTGTGAGACCCTGGACAAGTCGCCTAATTCCGTTGCCTAGCTCTGCCTGCCCCACCAAAATAATAATAATAATGATAATAAAAGGAAAGTTAGTTTTTGGGGGGCAGCTAGGTGGCACAGTAGATAGAGCTCCAGCCTTAATCAGGAGGCCCTGAGTTCAAATTTGGCCTCAGACACTTGACACTTACTATCTGGGTGACCCTGGGCAAGTCACTTAACCCCAATTGCCGTAGCAAAAAGCAATAAACAACAACAACAAAAAGAACACCTCGTCTATTTTATTTTATGAATTTAAAAACATTCTGAGAAGGGAACCATAGGATTCACCATACTGCCAATGGAGTCCGTAATATGAAAAAGTTTTAAGAAACCTTGGTCTTTAATTTTTTTTTTTAGCCTTTGCTTTATCTCTCCCTTGTTTAAGTATCAAACCCACATTTATTTCATGGAATCCCGCTTTTACTATTTTTTTGAAAATGTGTAATGTTGGAATTGTTGCTTTAGTATTTGATGAAATTCATTTGTAAATACAGCTAGTCCTGGGTAAGTAATTTTTCCTTCGGGAGTTTCTTTATGGCTTATTCAATTCTCTCTGTCTCTTCCTCTCCCCCCCCTCTTCTAATTTGAGGTTTTTAGGTTTTTTTTTCTTCTGTTATTCTGGGTATTTTATATTTTTGTAAATATTCATTAAGTTAATTTATCAGGTATGTTGGTGTATAATTTGCCATGAAAATGTTTAGGGATTAACTTTCTCCATAAGGACCCTTGTTTGGAGTGCATCTGAATTTTTTTGGTTACATTGCTTCATTATTGTTATTTTATTTAATGAAATAGTTGGCTTCCATTTAAATTTGTTAGCTGGCACAGCGGATGGAATGACCTGGAATGAGGACATCCTTAGCTAAATCCAAACTCACATTTACTAGTTGCATGAATGTGGGTGTATCATTTTTTAACCTTTGCCTCAGTTTCCTCAGTTACAAACTGGGAATACTAATTGCACCTACTTTGTGAGAATCGACTGAGGTCACTTGTAAGCACTTTCTAAACTTTAAAGAGCTGTATAAATTCTAGATATTTATTCACATGCCCCTTATTGATCATATTTTTTATTGTGATAGTCAATAGTAGTTAATATTTGGTTTTCTGAATTTGTTTATGATGTTTTATGCCCTAGTGCATGGTGAATTTTTGTAAAAATGCTTTGTACAGCTGTGTAATATACTATTATCTATTTCTATTTCCTAATCTTCATAGAGCTAAGTTAACCCTTCTACAATTCTATTCAGGTTTTCAACTTTTAGAAATTTATGTTCTAGTAAGATTCTTCTAGGTCTGAAAGGTAGATAATAAGGTTATCAGCAATTATACATAATGCTATTTGTTTCTCCTTCTCGGGAGGGAAGAACTCTTTACTGTTATCCTTGTGCCCTAAGACTTCAGCAGTGGGGAAAAGGATGTTCTTCTACTCCATGCTCAAAAAAAGAAAATAAGCATTTATTTAGTTTCTGCTGTGTCCTAGGCACTATGCTAAGTGATTTTATAACTATTATCTCATTTGATCTTCCTAACAACTCTGCATGGTAGAGGTGCTATTATCATTCCTGTTTTGCAGTTGAGGAAAATAAAGCAGAGAGAGGTTAAATACTTGTCTAGAGTGGTCACACAGCTAGCAAGTGTCTAAGGCCACATTTGAACTCAGTTCTTTCAGATCCTAGGTCCGGCACTATAACCAGTGTGCCCCCGGCTGACTCGGGGATCTCTTGGAGTAGAGCATGCTCAGTAGGAAACATCACGCCCATGGAAGTAAGCCCAGAAAATCCAGATCCAGAGTGAAGTTGAGCTGTTGGAGAGGAGCACAGGGAATTTAGCAGGTGACACGTCCAGAAGATAAGGAATAGAAATATGTAGACGTCATGGGAAGAGAACTGGGGTTTTTTTAGTAATTGAGTTGTGAGTTGCCTTGGACATGTGCACTGGACGTATGCCTCTTTATATTCTGTATGTCTGTCCATTCTTTCCACTGCTGCTCTCTTCATAGGAGATTGCACCCCAGGTTAATAGAGGAGCTGTCTAGCTCTTAACCAGGCTATTTTAGTAAAGGCCTTTGCTTTGCCCTGATTCTTTTTTTTTTTTTTTGGTTAGGCAATGGGGTTCAGTGACTTGCCCAGGTCACACAGCTTGTAAGTGTGATGTGTCTGAGACCGGATTTGAACTCAGGTCCTCCTGAATCCAGGGCGGGTGCTCTATCCACTGTGCCACCTAGTTATCCCTTGCTTCGCCCTGATTCTGTCTTTTAGGTGACTATTGAAAGTCAATGTATCAGTTAAGGTTTGTGAGTTATAATGTTAGGAGTGTGGTCCCATAGAACCCCTTGAATCTGGGGAAGTCATTGTCTGGAAGACCCTACCTATAAGTGTACTATAGGGGGTAAATTCAAAGGGGCTACTGTCAACAAACTGTTTTATAATGACTTTCTTGTTTTTCTTGAAATGCAACTTTCCCAAAATTATAAATGTGATTTTCAAAAGATCTTTGGGGGTTAGCAAGATGGCTGTGACTTTTATATAATACCCTATACTTATTTCAAGAAATGCGTATTTGAATTGTGGTGGTGGTGGTGGTTGTGGGGAAGGTCTCTACAATATGATGGTGATAACATGGGGAACTTCACTGAACAGCCCCTAAACCTCTACAGCTTCCTCTGCCTGTGTTCCCTTTGATTTTAGTCTTGGGTTTTTGTTCTACTACCAATACCCAAGAATAAAAAGAAACAGGAGAGTGGGAGTGGGCAAGTTCTATTTCTAAAATTACATGTCTGGGTTCGTGACCTTTCTTCCTTTTCTCTTCTTCAGCAGTATTCCTCCCACTCTTTCCACTGTTAGTACATTACGTGTGATCAAAAGTGCACAACGGTTTATTGCAATTATAAGAAATTCCAGGGTTTAAATTCCTTTTGAATCATATACATATGAGGTAAATCACAAGCATAGCTTTACATTACTCAGCTTGGCACAAATTAAGAACCCTTTAAAAAGTTTACAGCCCTTTCCAGGTACTTCTTCCTGTATTCAATATTCTTTTTCAGTCCTGCTTTTAGGCCATCAGAAGATAAGTGGAATGGTCTAGACCCCTAGTCTAGAAAATCCGGAATTCAGTAGTAAGAATTTGTCAGTTTATCAACATGTTAAAGACCAGTACCCATTAGAGAAGAACAAGTTAATAACATTTGAAGAAACAAACAATTCTTTTTTCCTAATTAAATGTTCACTGCATAACCTTCATATCAAAAATTTAGGCTCTCGCATAAACTTAATCACAAAGAGGGAGTGTCGTAAGTGATCAATATGGGTTACCTCAAGTGGCTACTATGTGCAAGGCACTATACAAAGAGAAAAACAAAAGTCTTTCCTCAAGGAGTTTACATTCTACTAAGTGTATAGAAGATATATATATAGATAAGTAAATGCAAAGGACGTACAAAATCATTTCAAGAGGGAGAGAATAGTATACCATTAAACAGATCAGGAAAGGGTTTATATATGAGGTGGCATCTGAGCTGTGCTTGGTTGGATATTAGGGACTTGTTTGAGGCAGAGAGGATGGAAGGAGTGCATTCTGGGTATGGGGATACAACCTATGTAAAGACACCTAGGTGGCAGATATGATGCTATGTACATTTAGCTGGCCAATTTGACTGGAATGGAGAATACCTAAGGGACAGAAATATAAAAGAAGACTAGAAATGATAAGTGAGATCACTTGTGAAAGTTAATTAACTAATGAGCATTCTCTTTTGAGATTGAATAAATTCTCCAGAGACTTGCTGTTTGTGGCTGAATACTATAGCAACTCTATCAAGGTTCAGAAACCCTATGAAATAGACTGCCAGTCGTTTTATCATAACAACTTCAATCCTCAGGTTTAACTTTAATCAGTGTCCTATGTGTATCTTCAGGGAACTGCCACTGAGGGATAACGTGAACTCTAATATTGTTCAGAAGGGAGTTTGAGACCCACTCAGAGTCTGGATCCTTTGATGTCCATGGGTAATGAAGAAGGCGAAAAGGATGGTGGTGATGGGTGCATAGCATGGATGCCACCTTCCAGGGCTCTTTCCACTGGGATTGTAGAGGGGAGACTGGCAGCTGACGATTAGCAGAATGTCTGACTCTTATTATTTCTCCTCCAGCTGGATCAGTTTACTGAAAAGAAATGCAGCACAGGAAGAGAGTTGAGACACCTTATGTTACTTTCAATATCGTGATCCCTCCTTGTCTCCTTCCTCCTACAATCAGTCCAGGTCTACATAGCAGCTCTCTTAAGTATGGTAGGGTGATGGTTTTGGAAAATTAATGTTGGTGTGTGGAACAGCCTCTAATGAGACTGGAATTAAGGAAGTTAGGAGATTATTGCAGTAATCCAGACACACAGTGATATGAACCTAGTGGTGGCAGTGGGAATGGAGAGGAAGAATTTAAGCTTAGAGACATTAAAAAGAAAAAATAATATGACTAGGTGACAAACTGGATAGCAGAGATAAAGGAGAATGAGATGTTAAAGATGACTCCCTTTAGTGAACCTGAGTGACTGTGAAAATATTGGTGCCATCGAGAGAAATTGAAGTCAGTAAGAGAAGTGTTGGACATCTTGAATCTGAGGTCCTATTGGAATACCCATGGAGGCATTTCAGTGATCAAGGGTAGAGATATAAATTTGGCATTAGTGTGGGGGTGATAATGATAATACTATGAGAGAAAATGAACTACCTTAGGAAGTGAACAATGCACAGAATATTATTAGAAGGCACTGGAAAAAGAACCTTGGTAGACTGGAAAAACTTATTTTGAATAGTACCCTGGACCATTCTTCTCAACACTTCCTGCCCCCAACCTCTGATAGGGCAGTTAAGTTGTGAGGAGTGGATAGAGCAGAAGTCCTGGAGTTAGGAAGACCTGAGTTCAAATGTAGCCTCTGAAACTTACTAGTTGTGTGAGCCTGGGCAAGTCACTTAACCCCTGTTAGCCTTAGTTTTATTATCTGTAAAATAGGGATAATAATAGGACCTACTACTTCACAGGATTAATAATTGTAAAGGGCTTAGCAATGGTACCTGGCACATAGTAAGCACTCTATAAAAATGTTAGTTGTTGTTATTTATTTTTATAGTAGGTATTCAGTAAATACCTACCAATTGATAATTTCCCCATCCACTCAGTAGAATATACTATAAGTTTTGAGGTATGTTAAAAAAAATGGTATGTAACATCTTTCCTTGGGCTTCTTTATATGTCTTGCTTACTTACCTTCAGTCAGGATATAGCTCCTGATCAATCCTCCTGTGGAGATAAGAAGCCTTGTGATGAGGGACAGGGAAAATGAGAGTTACAGTTAATTCTTCCCTTAATTTTAAACCTCATTTTCCTGTTTTGGGTTATTCAGCCCCAAAGACCACCTCCACATTTCAATTCTAGTGGAAACATATGTTTTCCTTCTCTTTCCTGGGCAAAAGCTCTGGTAAACCCCATGGAAAGCTAGGCGGGATGATGTTGAAGGGGGGTGTATGGCTCCACCAGACTCAACTCCAGGGACAAGTAAGGAATAAGCTGCTTAGGCCAAGGGGCAGGGAGCTCTGGCAAGACAATAGTGGAGTGATCAAATGGAAAAAAGTATTTATTAAGCCCTTACTTTGTGCAAAGCATGTGCTAAGTGCTGGGGACAGAAAAGGAAAGAGTAGTCCCTATTCTTGAGGAGCTCACGTTCTAGTAGAATGAGACTATTGGAGGTTTTAGCTGCAAGTTACATGGTCCGTAGGGTATAGGGGCAAAGCTAATAGTAATGCATCTTATTTAATGCCATTTCCATTGATAAGACTATGCCCATTTCTGATGTTGAACCATTTAACAATGCCGAGTAAGTCAGTATACCTAGGAGCTACTACAGTTAGCTAGGCAAAAATCACTTTTCTTTTTTCTACTTACTTGACACCTTCTTCTTTTTCCAGATGATGACAACTATGGTGGTAATGATAATGCTACCAATGATCCCAGTGGTGATCCCAGTAGCCAGGGTGACAGACAGTGGGCGATGCTCTGAAACAGGATAGAGAGGTTAGGGGTTCATGATTCCACCAGCCCCACCCCCCCCAAATTCTTCTGGGTCCTACAGCTCAGACAGATCACTTTTTTTCTCCCTCCATGGAAAGATTCCCTCTCCTCTGCCGTCTTCATTCTGGTCCATACCCCAGGTCATAATGAGGGGCTGGTCTAGTCCTGGGTGCTCTACTTGGCAGGCATATCTCTGTTCTTCTCCTGGAGTAACATCCACGGCTATCCAGCTCTGGAAGGTTCCATCCCCACTGGGATGGATGTCTCCCAGCTCAGTTCCTTGGTTCAGTAGCTTCCCATCCCATAACCAGCTCAATGTAATGTTCACTGGGGAGAAGTTGTGAGCTTGGCATCTCAGAGTGGTAACACCTTCATGAGTGGTGTGTCGAGTCACTCTCACCAATGGGGGCACTGAAAAGGTAGGTGAAAGGAAAAGATAAGGAACCTTTCTCAAGGCTCTTTCTCTTCAGAAAACAATATAATAACATAAGGCTTTTGCTTTTTATTAATTTTTAATCATAGTATTTTATGATTTATTAATGATTAATTTATATTTATTAATATATCTTATTTTAAGAGGGACATAGCCAAAAAAATAAAATGCCAAGATAGGACTTGGGGTTCAGCTGTAAATTTTCTTGTCCCCCCACCTCAGGGCTTTCCTCTTCAATTTTGCATAGGAAAATGAGATCTGGGAAATTAAGAAGGAAAGTCCTGTATTATTTATACTAAAAAAGTAGAAGAAGACAAACTGAGTTCCTCTTTTCTGCTTCTGTCCTCTCTCTCAATGAGGTTTTCCATCTTAAATGAAGACAATGTTGTTTTAGCCTACCATTATTATTTGTTTTGAATTGTTTTACATTAGTGATTATATTAATACTCACTTTTCCTTGTCACCAAGCAAGGGGATGACTTTGCAACATTGATACCCAATGTGAATGTACAATCTCTATCCTTGGCACATGCTATGTGTTTGTGATGTTCACCCAAGGATGAAGCCTATAAACTTAATGAAATTAGCACCATGATCTCAGCAGTCCTGTTAGGCATTTCCAGGGAGGTTGAAGCTATCAGTTTGCCCCGTCCTAGTGACTAGGGTCATCGAGAGAGAGAGGCTTCAAATACACAAATATCCTAAGCTTAAAAGTGGAGTGTGTGTGTGTGTGTGTATGTATATGTGTGTGTGTGTGTCTATATATATATATATGTGTGTGTGTGTGTGTGTGTGTATGTATATGTGTGTGTGTGTATGTATATGTGTGTGTGTGTCTATATATATATGTGTGTGTGTGTGTCTATATATATATATATATATATATATATATATAGACACACACACATATATATATATATATATGTATATGTGGAGAGAGAGAGAGAGAGAATGAGAACATGAGAACACGGGAGGAACTTTGTCAGTGTTATACCTTTCTTATTCAGGATTTCACTTCCAATCTCTAAGTATCTTTGTAGCATCTCAGGGCAGTCTCTTTCTAGGTAAGTTCGATGTTGTTTTGCTCGGATCTTGTTTATCTCCCATTCCTGCTTTGTGCCCTGGGCTTCAGGCTGAACTGCTGTCCAGTTCATTGTCTCTGGATGGAAGATGAGATAGTCTTGACCATCATAGCCATATTTCCAGAAACTTCTGCTTCTGTTGTCTTCCACCAGGAGCTCACAGCCAAGCATTACCTGTAGTATGTGAGACCCTGACAACCCCCAACCCCAGACCAGTTATCAAAGCTGAAGAGTTCTACTGTAAATGTCTCTCTAAACCTCAAAGGCTTTATATCATATATGTAATATGTGTGTGTGTGTGTGTGTGTATATATGTATGTATATATGTATGTGTGTACATACACACATATCTCAAGGGATATCATGCCTAACAGGACTGGTGAGATCATGGTGCTAATTTCATCGTGTTTATAGGTTTCATCCTTGGGTGAACATCACAAATAGATAACATGTGCCAAGGATAGAGATTGTACATTCACACTGGGTATCAATGTTGCAAAGAGATCCCATTGCTTGATGACAAGGAAAAGTGAATATTGATATAATCACTAACGTGAAACAATTCAAAATGAATGTCTTAATAATGGTGGGATAAAACAGCATTGTCTTCGTTTAAGATGGAAAGCCTTATTGAGAGAGAAAGGGCAGAAGCAAAAAAGAGGAGCTCAGTTTGTCCTCTTCCACTTTTTCTTTTTCAGTATAAACAATCCAGGACTTTCCTTCTTAATTTCCCAGATATCCTTTTCCTGTGCAAAATTGAAGAGGAAGGCGCTGAGGTAGGGGAATGAGAAAACTTATAGCTGAACCCCAACTCCTGTCTTGGTATTTTATCTTTTTGGCTGCGTCCCTCTTAGGGCTAATAAAAATAAAAAGCTTTATGTTATTTCTTAAATGTTATTTACTTATATTGTTTTCTCAACTGTGGAAGAGTAAATTCCTTGTGTACTCCATTTCATAATTATTTATAAGTTCTACCCTTCTTGGTCGCCTAGAAGATGGAGGTTTCAAAGACAACTGGACCTTAGGAATAAGGCTTGTGGTTCAGTTACCAGCATATTTTTTTAAAGGAAAGATGAAAAAATAAAAACATTATATATTCTATTCTTGACATAGAGTATATAGATAACTTGTAAGTAGGACACAAAATGTCGCTGATCCAGAAATGCTACAAGTCACAGTTCTTACATTAACTTGTGTGATCTGGACAAATTATTTGAGCTTTCTGTTTCCTCATCATTGCATTATAAGTTCTTGTCTGGCTCTAATGTTCTATGATTCTGCCTCTCCATTGTCTATCCTTCCCCATCTGGGATAGCAGTCTGTAGACCTTCTGAGGGATCTTAATCAGTATGTGAATGAATACAAATTCACCTAAATCACTAAATCTAGCCAGCTTTAGATCATACTTCATATCCATTCTAACCATCCACCCTAGGTGTAGAGCAACGAATCTCTTTCCATCTCTTGCTTTGGGAACAGTAATCAAATTAACACCAGTGTTGCTTCTATAAAGGAAATGTCAGTTGACTCTCCTATGGTTTCACTTGTCATCTCTGTATCTCCCTGGAACAAAACTTCCTTCTCTGGCTACCATTCCCCTATTTAAGCTCCATGAGGACAGGGATTGTCTCAGATTTATTTTTATATCCCCAGCACCTAGCATAGGGCCTGATGCATTACAGGACTTAATGCTTATTCATTCATTCTGTATAGAGTAATTGGGAGTCCCTCCTGCTGTGACTGTTTCAGAATAGAAGCACTAATCATTATGACTACTCTGTGTTGACTGAGAAATGTAAGCTGCACCTTTTCCTGCCCTCCTAGTCTCACATCCACCTACTCTAGTTTCAAATTGGTTCTGAGGGTACTGAAAGGAAAAGTTATGCTATTGTAAAGTACTTCAAATACTTACCCTGACCTTGGCTGTGATTGTCCATTATGGTCCAAAGGTCGATAATGAACATATGATCCCATCCTTTCAGGCTTTGAGTAAGTCTCATCCAAAACTTATCTATTTCATCCTTCTGTATCCATGGGCCCCTGGGTTTTGCCTTTCGGCTTTCATGATCATAGTACACAAATAAGTGCTCATCCACATCGCCAAGGGCTACAAATGAAGGGAGTCCTAACTCAGGATGTGATGCCCCCATGAAGAGAAATTGAAGAGAATGAGACCCTGGAGATGACAAAGATACTGAATCAGGCGCTTAGCAGAGATGGAGCGAGTGCAACAGTTCTGAATTAGCTGCTCTTCAGATCCTTTAACCAGTGGGAAATCATTGTATAAATGTCATCTGTTACTAGGTGGTATCCACAGGGACAAAGATTGAGGCAATGACCTCTTTCTGGAAGCCATAAATTCTAGTTTGAGGATAAAGAAGATGGAACTAAGGAAAGAAAGAAAGAGGACAGTATACCTGGAATTCCTGTTACAACTCTTTCAAAATATTGTGTGACTTTGGACAAGCCCCTTAATCTCTCTGGGCCTGTCTTTTCCTCAGCTATAAAAAGAGGGGCTAGGACAAGATTGCCTGTGAAGTCCATTCTAACTCCAAATCAATGATCCTATGATTATGTAAAATCTCATAGTTTTTTTCTTTCTCAGAATCAAATAAGATATGTGAAAGCACTATGCAAATTTAACTTAAAATAATTAATAGTAAAATGATTAGAGTAGTACTAGGGGGACAGAGTTGAGAAGGAAACAGATGATAGCTACAGGATCCACCGTGAGTAAGGAATAGGGGGAAATCCAAACAAGGCAGGAAAATTTAAAGGACAGTACGACCTGTTTCTCCTAATTCCTGTTCTGTAGGGAAAAGAGGTGGGGATGAGGATGAAGGTGGAAGTAGGACTCAACCACTTCTTCACTCCTGTCTTCTTCCCATTGACCCACCCCACCTGCTGACCACTACCCTCAGACTCACGAGACGGTCCCTCCCGTTGGACCACTACCCTTAGGAGGAGCAGGAGAAGAGCCAGTTGAGATAGTGTCCTCATTGCAACCCTGAACCTGCCCGGTATTTCCAAGTCACAGGAATGCCCCTCTCTTTGCCTTTCCTGCTTCTGCTGGCTCCCAAATCCTAGTTTACAGGGCTTAATCTGAGAGACCTAAAGTATTTTATTCCAGGACTAGGAGGACATTCCTTTTCAGAATGTTCTCCACCCCATGTTTTACTGAAATGGTTTGTACACTGAAGAGGATGGACTCTTTGTCCTGCCCCCAGAGGAAAACACGGGAGCTGTGTTACGTGCAATTGAACTTTGCCCAGCTTATCTTTGTGCCCTCTCTTGTGACCCACAGTACACATTTCTAAAGGCATTGACCAAAGCCTAGAACAAACACACAGCCTGGATGAATACAAGTAAACAGAGCACATGGGCAGCATAGATATTTGCAGAAAGCTGACATCTTTTAACTTCTGCAGTTTGATAGGGAAAACAGTGGGACAGAGCAAGTCAAACATCCTCAGGCAAGGCAAAAGAACCAGAAGGGCAGGTTTAGGGGACTCCAGAATTCATTCATTCAGCAAATACTCTTTAGGTCATATTTTGAACATCTGTAAAATGAAAGGGAGTATGTAACTTCTATATTTCCTTCCAGTTCCGATATTAATGAATGCTAGGATTTAAGATCTGGGAGATACTTATCTATACCAGGAGTTCTTAACCTAGGGTCCATGGTCGTTGGGTCAAATTTCAGGGATTCTGTCAACTGGGATGGGGGAAAGGTTGACATCTTTATTTTCACTAACCTCCAACTGAAATTTTAACATTTCCTTCAATTTTGAATGTAGGTACAAAACATTATGCTATGAAGGGGTCTGTAAAACTTTATAAAACTGATAAAGGAGTACATGACCAAAAAAAAAAAAGGTTAAGAACCCCTGATCTTAATCTAACCCCTTCATTGTATAGGTGAGAAAACAGTCTCAGAGCGATGGAATTTTGCCCAAGCTCTGTTGAAGAGCCAAAATTGCTACTAGAACAAATTTAGTTGGGGAGTTGGGGTGGGCCTGTAAGGGTGGCTCAAAGAACAGTTTGTGGTTGCAGTCTTGTTTGTATAGGGCAGCCTGATCCCTATAGACTTCTGGTGAGGAGGCAAGAGACTGAAATCCAATGGCAATAGACTCCAGACAGTACTAACACAGAAAACCTTATCGAGCAGCTGCCTAATTAAGAATTGTACCACATTATGGGGGATTGTTAGTTCTTGTCACAGGTAAAAGCTGTACTTTGACATGACCAAGTACATTCCAAAATCTCAGGGCCAGAACTGATTACGGATGAAGTACACACCTGTCTGCTGAATAGTCTTGCCAATAAACAGCTTTAATGCATCAACTAGTAAATGTAGCCTCTTTTCTTGATTTAAACAGGAATGGATGAAAGTGATCCTATTTAATTTAATCCCTTCATTTTACAGATGAGGAAACAGTTAAATGACTAGCCCAGGGTCACATAGCTAGCAAGTGTCCAAGGCCAAATTCGGACTCAGGTCTTCAGGCCCAGCACTCTATCCACTGTGATACCTAGCTGCCCCATTTACTAGGGAGACTCATTAAAATGTTAAAATGCTTGAATACCATAGGCTAAATTATTTTGTTAATCCTTTCAACTCTAATAACCCTCTTAGATCCATAATCAATTAGATATATTGGTTACAAAAAAGTTAAACAGGTCAAATAAATTTGTTACTATATGCTGAGAATGGATTTTTTCAGGTACATAACAAATGTCATATAGGATTTAGAACTGGAAAGGACTTTAAGACTTCTAGCTCAATCTTCTTATTTCATAGGTGAGGAAACAGTTGCAGGTGAAGACTAGCTCAAAGTTAGATAATAAGTAAATTAGAAAGTAAGTAGTATTTGGAATTTTGTTGGGTACTCTTGACTCATCTCTTTACATTAAATGGAAGTAATTTCAGTTGAGCTTAGCCTTAGCCTAAACTTCTAAGGACAATAATCTTGGGGGTTAAAAGTCTGTGATTTGGATCCAATTCACCCCAACTAGGTGGGCATGAAAGAATGTATTTGGAGAGATTGAGGGAACAAAGAAAAAGACATTAAGTTTCTCTGCTCATTTGTAGGTAGAAACTGAGACATCTGTGAAGGCAAAACAAAAACAAATAAGCTTTCTAAGACAGTAGCACACCACACACAAATATTGAGTGTAAATTCTGTATCTGTACATGTGTTCATGTCTGAAATCACCGTTGGATTTATTCCCTCCCCCTTTACTAGTCCCCCCCCCCAAGTGGTACACAAAAAGGCAAAGAAGCTAGCTTTTCTAGATGGCTGAGGAGCCTGTTTGAAGTGGTCGACCACTCTGAGAATGGACAGCCAGCTGCTAAGCTGCTAAGCAAAGTTTCAGAAATGTTTTTAAAATGCCTGAAGCAGCCATTACTTCTGAGCAGCGTGTGGCAAAGTAACCCAAGAAAGCAGCAGATAAAGGAAATGAAATGCTTAAAAACCCCCAAAAACCAGCACAGGAAAGAGCGCTACAGTTATTTAGGGAAACTGTGGGTGGCTCTGAAAAGAGCCTTTGGGTACGGTATTTCAAAGACCGCCAATAGTTTATGCCCTCTCCCCGCGGATGCGACGAGCCAGCTGGATGTCCTTGGGCATGATGGTCACGCGCTTGGCGTGGATGGCGCACAGGTTCGTGTCCTCAAACAACCCGACCAGATAGGCTTCGCTGGCCTCCTGCAAGGCCATCACGGCCGAGCTCTGGAAGCGCAGGTCGGTCTTGAAGTCCTGCGCGATCTCGCGCACCAGCCGCTGGAAGGGCAGCTTGCGGATCAGCAGCTCGGTCGACTTCTGGTAGCGCCGGATCTCTCGCAGGGCCACGGTGCCGGGCCGGTAGCGGTGAGGCTTCTTCACGCCGCCAGTAGCCGGCGCGCTCTTACGGGCAGCTTTCGTAGCGAGCTGCTTACGAGGCGCCTTGCCACCGGTAGACTTACGAGCGGTTTGCTTCGTACGAGCCATCGCAATCGAATAAGAAAAAGCTACTCACTACAGCAGAAAGAAAAAGAGAATACTGCGTTATTTATAGACAAGGCCCTCTTCTGATTGGACTAGAGCATATTCAAAAAAATCCCGCGCTGACACCGGATTGGTCCATTATCGAGTTTGTAACTGAAGGCGCCAACCGTTTTCAGATTTTTTTTTCTTTTGTTCATTCCCTGCAAACGGGATTTTCCGACATACCGACAAAATTCCTTTAGTACTGTGTCATAGTCTAGTTGAACAGATGTTATTTTAAATGCTATTTGACGTTTCCTGCAACTGGATAAAAGTATTTCTTTGGGAAAAATATCGAGTTATTTTAGACTATTACTTCTCTGTAACCAGATTTCTCATTCTATTTTTCTCGTTTCTAATTCATTTCAGTTAATCAATCAATCATCCAAGCATTTATCCCTCACCTAAGAGAAAGGAAAAGGAACAATAAATTAACATCAGGCTAGAGTAAGACAGCTAGATTTGGAATTCAGACTGCTACTCCTTAGCTCTATGATTTTGCAAGTAAGTTATTTTTACCTCACCTACAAAATGAGTTTTAGCCTTATTGGTTCCTTAACTTTTTTCAATGAAGGTGAGATCAGTGCATTTTTATAACTTAAGGAAGTAGCACAGCTACATCCTTTCAGAGTGGGGGAATCTCAAAAGAACCTTTGGATTTTTATCAAGCTTTTCTTTTGGATTCTAACCACCTGACAGCTCAAAATCTTTATCAGCCTTGCATTTTGTGGGGACTCTTCACATTCTTAGGCAGCCAGCAGGCCTGAATGTTGGGAAGGATATCAGCCTCCTATTGTTTATGGCCCACTGAAGGTGGTGAGAGATAATATACCACTTGTTGTTGGCCCGGTACCAGTCTAGCCCAAGATTTCAACGGTCAGCTATATGAGAACAACGACTAGGTATATAGGTGCCTTGACACCAAGCTTTTATAAAAGTATTCATTGTGGCCCACAATGCAGACAGCCAACTGGGAACTGCAGATCAACAGGAGAAGACTTTTTTTTTTTAATCTTGGCAGGAAATTTCCCACTCTGCTTTCTGAAAAACAACAAAAGCAAAAGTAAATGCAAAGGTAGTGAAATTAAAACACAATTTGAGTAGTGAAGCAACATTTATAGCAACCACAGGAAGAGAAATGTGGGCTCTGTGATGAGTTAAAAATAATCATTCAGTAAACTAACCAATAAAAATATAGAATTACAATATCTTTATTTGCATATGTTCTTCCCACTCATTGTGATACTGTGACTTTTATAGCATCTCTTCCATATGTCTCCTTGTCTCCTCTGACACTATAATACAGGCTACTTGCTGGTTGGGTTACCTACTGCAAGTCTCTACCCACTCCAGTTAAACTTAGCTGTTTAAGTGATCTTCCCTGAAACACAGGTCTGACCAAGTCACCAGCTGACACCCTTCTTCCCTGGAAAGTAACTGAGAAAGATCCAACATGGATATATCAAGAATAGGTCATGCCAGACCAGCCTTATTTCCTTTTTTGAGCGAGATAATAGTGATGGGTGAATCAGAGGAATATATAGTTTTCTTCAAAATTACAAAAGCAAACTTAATAACATCTCATTTCTGTTCTAGGGGAAAAAATGGTGATCAACCATTTTGGAAATCAACTTGGAAAAAGGTCTCTAGTGAAATACTCTAGGTATCTGTGGTTAGCTACATTTTGTTTAACAAGTAAGGTATTGGAAATAATTTGAATTAATTAAATTAGAAATAATCAGCAGAATGAAGGCACTAGAATAAAGGGATCAAGAAAAGTTTCCTGTAAAAGTTGAGCCTTGGAGGAAACTAGGGAAGCCAGGAGGCAGAGATGAGGGCAGAGAGCATTTCAGGCATGGGGGATAGCCAGTGAAAATGTCTGCATTTAGGATGTAGTGTGTTGTTCAAAGGAACAGCAAGGAGACTAGTGAATTGAAGAATGGGGTGTTAGAAGACTGAAAAGCTAAGGGGAAGGGCAAATTTTGAAGGGTTATGGACATCTAATAGAAGAATTTATATTTGACCCTGGAGGTGACAGAAAGCCACTGGAACTGACTGAATTGGAGGTGGGGCAGTGTGACAAGGTCAGACCTGTCTTAGGTAGATCAATTTGATAGCTGAGTAGAGGATGGACTGGGGTGGGGAGAGATTTCCAGCACTCAGAGCAATCACCAGGCTATTGCAATAGTCCAAGCATGAGGTGATGAAGGCCTATACCAGTGTGGTGGCAGTGTCAGAGGACACAAAGGGGTATATATGGGAGAGATGTTACAAAGGTAAAATCCACAGACCTTGGTAACAGATTGATATGGAGGATGAGAATGGAGGATGACACCTAAGTTTTGAGCCTGGGTGACTGAGAGGATGGTGGTTCCCTTTAGAGTAATATAAAAGTTTGGAAGGAGAAGAGAATGGGGGAGGAAAGTTTTGGACATGCTGAATTTAAGGTATCAATAAGACATCTAGTTTGAGATGTCTAATATGTAGTTGGAAATTCAAGATTGAAAATCACCAGAAACGGGCTTAGGTTCAAAATCCAAATTCTCTGACTCCAAATCCACAGCTCTAAGCCTTTCATCAAGGCTGACTTGGCTATTTCCAACTGGTTGGAGATATTAGCTTCTCTAGAATTAGGGCTAATGTTTAAAAAGAAAGGGGTAAGGATGAACAGGATCAAGTCCAAGTTTGAATTTGGGAAGGCATTGGATCCAGACATTGTCTTAAGCTGCAAAAAACAAACAACAAACTCCCCCCCAAAAAAAAACAACCCCCCAAAACAAAAACCAAACATCTGCTTTGAGAGATTAGGCTTGGCTTACTGCTGTGCTTTGGAAGGAAGTGAACATTAGATTGAAGACGTGAGGTCCCATTTCAACCTGAGCTCCCTATACATGCGGTCTGTACAAGAAAAGACTAAGGCAAGGTAAACTGATAATACAGACTTGCCAGAAAATATTGATACCCTCTCACTTAATGACTCTCTAGTCAAGGTGCCCATCTGTACTGATGGTAGAATTCACACTCTCTCTCTTTCTCTCTCTCTCTCTCTCACACACACACACACACACACACACACACACACACACACACAAAATGGGGAAATACCTACTTACATTTAGACAATGAGCTATGTTATGAAATGAGGAGGACCTCTCCCACTGACAGGCCCTGGCTCTATATTCAAACAAATGAGGTTCAGTCCTGCAGGAACCCTAAAACAAAGGAATAAGGCTTTTCTCATACTCTTGCTTACTATACTTCTATCCCAGAGTAAAACTTGGGAAAATATCTAAAACAAAGCTTAGTTTTGGTTCATATCTAGGGTTTCCCCCAAAAAGTAATGGGATCATGTATAGAATATATACTTAAAGTACAAAGTAAGAACAGCTATTTGTTTCTTTTACCACAAAAATGTTCAAAATAAAAAATCCATATGTATACTTTGGCAGATACTTAAATTACAATAACCATTATGATCTCCCTAGAAGGTTTATGCTTAAAACATTAACATGAAATACTTTTGGGGACTGATTGACACGTTTCACTATCTGTGCAGACATATGCAACTGGATGAAGGCTATCTTCCGCCAAGCAATATCCTGGTTTGGACTTTCTTAGTCTTTTCACCTGAAGTATCCTCCTGACAGTGGTCATCCCCTCTGAGAAGATGTGATCACTTTCTATAGGGCAACCTTGGCCCAGACCCAGGGAGTTTCCAGACTCTCAATTTCATGGGGTTGTTGCCATAGCCAGGAGTCTCAGGATTATTGTTTGGTCACCTTTGCTCGGGGAAAGAAATACAAAACAGTTAGGGACTCGAGATTCAGTCTGTAGCTTACCTAAACACACATAAGCTCTCACTAACACATTTGAGAAGCTGCCATAGTTATTAGTGATAGCATTCCTTATCCTCTTCCCCCACTGGAAGTCTTGGGGAGAACTAAGAATTCTGACATGTTCAAACAGCCAAGAATAAAGATAAAAAATGTGTCACTCCTTTTAAAGATTACTTAAAAAGTAGTTCTTCCTGGCTCAGGGGCCAATCCTTTTTGGCATAGCCCTCCCTTCTACCAGTAAAGGAATTTTGCATCATTCTAAAGTGAAAGTCATTCAGTGGTGATCCAGGACACATATAGAAAGTGACGGAGGGCACAGACTCATTCCTATGCATGTTCCATGGGAGCCCTACAAAACCTAGTAGAGCACATTAGAGAGTTCCTCTGATCACCTCTATCACGCTCTACTGAGAGATAATACTTGCTATCCTTAGAACATCTCCAAGGATACATTAGGCACATTTGTCCCTATTTCCAATTCTGGAAATTTCTCTGGAAACCTGGGGAGGCTTGTGTCTTTCAAGTACCTTTAAAATGACTTACTTTTTCTCTCTCCTTGACCCATCTCCCACCATTTCTTGCATGGATTGCAGTCCATGTGACTGCAATGTGCAGACACAGTTCTTAACAGTCTATATTCCATGTAAAATGTCCCAAGCAGTCCATTCAGCACAGTTATTAGACAATGTCACAATTAATAGTCTTTTATGAGGTCCAAAATTTAGCATAGCTAGTGGGTTTGGAAATAACACTAAATCCCAAATAAAAAGTTATACAAATTACACAAACAACCTTTTACAAAGTTAAGCTGAGGTAGCATGACATGATGGTCAGAGAACTGGCCTTGGAGTTAGGAAGAAACCTCTACTTTTAAATTTCTCTGGCTTCCTTCAAGACAGCTTAAATCTTACCTTTTGTGGGAGACCTTTCCAGCTCTTCTCAGTCGCTAATGTTTCCCCCTCTCAGATTACTTTCCATCTACTCTGTAAATATCTTATATGTCAGTCATGATAGAGATATTGTTTAAATGTAAGCTTTTTTGTGGACAGGGGCAGTTTTTGCCTTTCTTTGAATCCCTACCACTTAGCACGGTGTCTGACACATAGTAAGCACTTGCCAAATATTTCTTAACTTGACTCACTGATCAGAGT